ATTTACCTTTGCTTTCTCTTCTCTCTCTCTCTCTCTCTCTCTCTCTCTCTCTCTCTCTCTCTCTCTCTCTCTCTGTGTGTGTGTGTGCGTGTGTGTGTGTCTTCTCCTTTTTAGAAGTTTTTCTAATAATTGGGATTATAATATAATTGAAACATTTCTCCTTTGTCTTTCCTCCCTATGCCCTCCAAACCCTCCAATATGCCATTCCATGTTCTACTTCAAATTCATGGCCTCTTCATTCACTAGTTGTTGTTACATACATATATATTCATAAATATTACTGTGCAGTCTGTATAATATTACTATATGTATGTTTTCAGGATGACTGTTTGGCACTGCTGACAACCAAATGGTTGTGCTCTTCCTTGGGGAAGTTCACCTCTCCCACTTCCAGCTTTCCAGTTGCGTAGAGTTATTTGTAAGGTTAGAGCCCAATGTGCTTTCCCCATTTGCTTTAGCATGTCTATGGGTGTCATGCATTTTTAGCTCATATTTGAGCAGTTGTGTTGGTGAGACTGTATGGATACAGTTTCTGACTAGGAGACACAATCTCACAGCAAACTCCCTGATCCTCTGGCTCTTACAACCTTTTAACCTCCTCTTTGGCAATGTTCCCCGAGCCTTAGATGTGGAGTGTTTTGTAGATGTATCCATTGGGGATAAGATCCACAACTCTATTTTGATTGGTTGTGGTTTTCTGTAGGGGTTTCCATCTGTTGCAAAGAGAAGTTCCCTTACTACAAACTTCAGAAACAGGCCCAGAGACCGCTGAGCTGGAGCAAACCTGAAAGCTACCCCTCCAGCCCCAGTACTAGCATTCATGGAACCAGAAGGCATAATGCAAGCTTTCAAAAGAGGGAGGCCAACAGCCCCACCCAGCTATTTTTTTCAATAATCCTGTACATTACTAAGATTTTAAAGTCTTAAAATCTTTAAAGAACACTCATTTATTCTAGAGAAGGATCTTACTTTTTAAAGTTTAAATGTATTCATGTCTATCTCTACTAACCTCTGTAACAGTCTTTAAATTTATTAGTTTTTAGGATAAAAGAAGTAATAAAGAGTGAAATGGACTTACAATGCTAATAATTGTGAGAAAAGTTAATGGATATAAAAGTGGTGAACAAATGTGGTGAACAAAAAGAGGTCTATTAAGTAGTGTGTAAATATGGGGGAGAAGAATTACTACCTCTGTTTAATACAATGCTTCCAGTGTTATCTCACTAACTTGCTGAGGAGCAGGAATATCCATACAGCACTAATAAGGTAATTAGAAATCCATGATAATCACTTTTAAAAATTAACAATGTTTAAAAAAGAAAATATGCTGCCTTCTCCGCTTCTCTTATGTGTTAATTTTGCTAGATTCACGAAAGGCAGCTCATATAAAAGAGGTTTTCAATTCTGAATTACAGAGTGAAGATGAGCAGTCTGGATACCCTTGTGTGATTTATGAAGCCAGGGAGGTCCCCTTTACTTCACCCTATTAATGTTCCAAGAAAACCTGCTGATCATATCAGACCAATGTTTGTCCCTCATTAGGGAAAAGGTTATGTCACTATAGACATTCGCTCTCCCTTAGCCCAATACTGTCTATGCTCCATCCTCAATTATCACGAATTTTGAAGTAACATCACGCTAAGAATTCTGATCATAACTATGATGACAAGGCCATCAGCAAACACATAATGAGAACTACATGATCTACAGGAGGCAAACAAGAATATTACTATGATAAATCCAGACCCCTCAATCTGTAAGCATTGACTGATCACTTAGACAATCAGAATTGGCCCCCCAAGTGTTTAAACTTCTACTTCATTTCACAACAGCCATTATGTGCAAACATCTTTTCCAATAAAGGAAAATGGGCTGAAGTGTACTCCCCAGAAAATGAGTTCATCTCTCGTAAACTCTCTAAATTTTGGACCTTACAATTTAAAGTTCTGGACATCTTCTGGAAAAGTCTTTTTTTTTCCTCTAAGCATTTCATTGCTAATTGACTTTATGGAATGCCTTACTGTGTATTTTTTAGCTTGCAAATTCTAGAAGGAATTAGATTACCATTTTTTTATTCTTTTTTATGCTTACAAGCTGAGACTGTGCTCTGAGGTAGAGTAAAAGGTACCAGAAATATCCCTTTATACTTTATACTTTATACTTTATACTTTAAAAGAGAAATTTTCAGAATTGTAAAATGACTTCAATGTTGTATCTAACCTTTGTGGCCACTGACAGAATTGAACCCCAATTGTCAGAAAATAAAAGCATATCTGTCCCAGGACAGTTTACAAAAATTCTTGCAACCCTAACTTAACTGAAAGTGTACTTTTTCTGTCATGTCTAGAAAATAAACTAGGGCAATGATGGAACAGAACTTATGGGAGTAGCCAACCAATATCTTATTTAACCTAAGGCCCACGAGAAGAAACCCATACCCAAAACAGCATTGGTAACCAAGAACCAGAAACTAGATAGCCCAGAGACCTATGGTAAAACCAAATACTACTGATATATATACTAATTCCTAGTGATATTCTACTATACTCATATATCATTGCCGTTGGTAGTCATTACCAGAGATGCTTCCTCTGGCAGCAGATAGAAATAGATGGAGATACACACAGCCAGACATTATGAGGACAGAAAGTCTAAACAGGAGGTTTCAATTAAATCCCTCCCACTCAGAGTTCAGGGACCCTGTGGAGAAAGAGGCAAAAAAACTGTAAAAGAAGACAATGATGGAGGACACCAGGACAAGGCCCTCTGATTCAACTAAATAAGGCACACATGAGTTCACAGATACTGAAGCAGCAAGCACAGGGCCTACATGTGTCTGCACCAGGTTCTCTGCATATATATATATATATATATATATATATATATATATATATGATATTAGAAATGTTATATCTATTAATTGAATTACTCAGCTGTGTCATTTGTTGTCACATAAGGAGCAAACAGTTTCAGTATCAGAAAGTATCATTTTTATGTAAATAATTCTTCCATTCAAAGTTAAAATATGCTGGAAATATGTTTTATTAGACCTTCAATGAGATTTTATGTACATAAGAACAAACGGAAATTACAAATTCAGCACTCATAACAGGCAAGAACACAAGGCTGTGGTCAAGGACTGTGAAGGAGTCTGTGAGGAGATGCCCTTTAATGAGATGAGAAGGGCTTGGTATCTCCTGCTATGCTCTTATCTCATAGTGTGTGATTCTCCTCTGAAACACTTTAACATCTGCTGAAATCTGTTTCCTATGATGTAATAGTTAATAGCACTTTTCTTCAAGGGTAAAGTGTACTTGTGCAAATACTAACCACGAGCTCTGGAGCAGGAACTTCTAAGCAGATTGTGGCCTGCTCACACTTGTCTTGTCAACTCTGTGGCATTGTTAAAAATACTGTAATGTGACCAACACGTTGAACAAAGAAATGAGAAAAATGAATGCCTCTCTGTACTCAATATACATAGAAAATAGAGGCAAGACAGAACTACTGCAGAGATATGAATGTCTTTGCAATGTATAATATGATAGGAACATACTATATTTTATTGGAAATGCTCTACTTTGACATTTTCAAATGAAGATGTTTATAAACAACAGTGCTAAAGTAAAATTAATAGGTTTCATACAAATAACAAAAACACAAAGATAATTGCCGTATGTATTTACTTACCTCTCTCTTGTAGTGATCATCACCTCCCCTCCAGTCCTTAACAATACTACTTGTTACATACATTGGTACAAGAATAATGGAAAGCTGAATTTCTATTGCCAAATGGTATTGATTGCAAATATTTCATTTTTTTTTCTTTTTTCTTTTCTTTTTTTTTTTCAGTTTCTCGAGACAGGGCATCTCTGTATGGCTTTGGAGCCTATCCTGGCACTTGTTCTGGAGACCAGGCTGGCCTCGGACTCACAGAGACCCACCTGCCTCTGCCTCCCAAGTGCTAGGATTATAGGTGTGCTCCACCAACGCCCGGCAATTGAAAATATTTTCTTAAGTATGTGTGCTACCCATGTCCATTACCTCACCTCAATGCTGGATTGAATCTGTGCAGGTCTTATGTGTGTGCTGCCACAATTTCTGTAAGTTCATATGTTCATCAGTTCTATTGTGAAATTCTGGAAATTTCTCTAATGGAGTGTCACTGAGTATTATCAAACACAATTTAGGGCAGGTCCCATGCCCAGGAGTAGTTGTCCAATACAAAAGGAGCTCCATGTTTTTGCGGTTGTATGAGGGAGGTTGTTTTGTTTTGGATTGGTTTTTGGTTTGGGCATTTTTGTCTTATTGGTGTTATATTAGTTTGTTTTGTGCTTTCTCCTTTGTTTTTATCCTTAATAGGAATCATGAAATTTGACTGACAGAAAGATAGAGCTGGGGGTAACCTGAAGGAGTTGTGGAGAAACAATCATCAAAATATAGAAAAAATAGGAAAAAGTCTATATGAAAATAGCAAAGTATATTATTTGAAAATTATAAAATCCATAAAAGGAGACAATGGTTCATAAGTAATAGGTTCTGCAACTGGCAGGGCAACTCATCATTATTTAAAAAGGAATGAAAGAAATGCAAATGATGAAATAGTTATATAATGCTTAGAATCATGAATCAGACTTTTGAGTTAACTGACTAGATTAAATCTTACATATCATCCAGGAGGTATGATATGTAAGGTATTTACTGTCAGTTCTAAAACCTGGGTTTTATTTTAGAAGTTACATGGAATGGAAAAGAAGCAACCATAGGAAGGTCTCTTTTGACCTTCAATAATTGGCCACACTTCATAGGCACTCTGGCACAAACACACACACACACACACACACACACACACACACACACACACACACACACACATGCACAAGCTTTATCTGTATATCATCCATCTATCATCTATATATGACAGAAACACACACATATACATACATACAGAGAGAGAGAGAGAAACAGAAAGAGACGGGATCGATAAATAGACATACATCTAGAGCTATTAATGTATTTTAGGTAATGTACATTTAAGAGCCTTACAAGTGACTCTTACACATATAAAGTTCAGAAACTACCAGTTACCAGAGAAGATATAAATGCTGTTGGATCATAATGACTAATACATGTTCTAGTGATGAGCAGTAACCACTGTGAAGTCATAGCTTTCAAAACAAGAGTAATAATGTGTGATCTGTTTAAGTTTTTCTAATCTGTCAATCTGGATTACATAACTTCGATGTACTTCATCATACACACACACACACACACACACACACACACACACACACCCACACAAACCAATCTTGTGTGTGCATGTGCGTGTGCGTGTGCGTGCGTGCGTGCGTGCGTATGTGTTTGTGTGTGTGTGAATGAAGAAGCCAAGAGAGGAACACAAATTTTTCTACTGATTTTGGAAAAGGTGTTAGTTCTGATACCTTGCTTAAATCATATTTCTTTTCTTCCCATTATCATGGTAGCAAAGATATTTCCTTACTCACTTTTTGGTTACTTATTGGATTCTGCACATTAAGTAAAAGGTTTGACAGAGAAACATATACATACTTTTTCATTATGAGTTCAATGCCTCATTGAGGACCTTCCGCTTGAACAGAAGCAGTTCATTGTGGAAGCAAGTCTGACTGCAGTGATCCAGGAGGAGAGCTTAGTAACACTTGCTTATTTTTCTATTTGTCTTCTTGTCTTCAAAGCAAAGACATTCCTTCCTTCTGAATGTAAGGACCGCACCTATTTCACTATAGAATATCAGGCATTGCCTGGGACAGAAAAGGAAACTTTCAATTTTTTTCTGCCTTCTCAAATATAAAAATGGCTTCTACAGAGCAGCTCATTCTGGAGTCTGCCTCAATGAAACTCAAATTAGTGATAAACTTTCCACCCTTCCTTGATTGGTTCAATGGTGCCCAGTGAATACAACAAGAACAGAGTGTGAGAATGCATAGAGAAGCAAATGTCATCAGTAGTATTTGAGATAGAACTGTTGTTCTCTTTTTTTTCATTTAAATTTGACTGCAGGTCAAAACTCATAGAGAAATGTGTTGAAAGGTTAGTATTTGGTATGATCGGGAAACTAAAATCTACACCTGATGTTGGAAATTATGTTTGTTTATTTCTAGGTCATGGGACTAACAGAGCCAAATTGTTCCTGATAATTTTATCAATTATGATAGTAAGCAACTGAATGCAGATTTATTGCTTGCCATCTAGCTGAGAATGTTCTCAAATTTGATATGTATCAAAATGAGATATGTGGCTCACTAAACATGATGCAGGCCTTCCATTCAGAGATTCTGATTCTGTATATTTGATGAAGAGACAAAATATGTAGCTGGTTTTTGTATCTTGTTTTCCAACATATTCTTTAAATGATAATTTTAGTTTGTTTTAAATTGAATAAGTAATTCAAAATGGCAATACAAGGCAAAAAATATATTACTTGGTTCCCCCACCTACTGATTTAGGTACACCACAGTATGGGCATATGAGAACAGGTATTGCTTATTTGCAGTTTTCCAGGAATTGTTTTTTCTTATCTTCTACTTCTCACCACCCAGGGAAACTTACTGTAGTTTTGCATATTTTATTAGAAACACATAAAATAGGGTTTGGAGTGATGATCATCAATTACGAATACCTTCTGCTCTTGAAAGGAACCTGGCTTTGCTTCTCAGCAGCCCTATGGAAGCTTCCAGTTATATGCAACTCTAATTCCAGGGGCCAACACTTGCTTCTGACCTCCATGCTAAAATGAAAAATATATTGCATGAACATATGTGCAAGGAAACATATATATACATAAAATAAAATGCATATACTTCAATAAATATTCTAAAAGCAATCATTTACAGTAATGATCTATGATTTCTTAAATCTCTTCTCACTTTTCACAAATACATACACACATGCACACACATACACACACACAATTATTTATTAAACTTACTTTGTACCCCAATGACTACTTTCCCTATACCAATACATCTCATAATAAAAAGTATCACATTTTATGTGTACAAAACACATCAGAATAAATTTTGAAAGTCTGTATTAAGAAATCCTTCTCCTGCTACTTTTAGTGTTTATAGAAGAAATTGAGAATTTATCCCAATAAGATGTGTAACATATTAACATGTTAACATGATAATGGTTGCTTGCACTTGAAAATGATGGGGAATTTAACATGGAAATCAATACATCAATATTTTTCTTACTAATCAGAAAATGTGGCTACAATTTTTACAGTGTTATATTTGATAATTGTCTCATATTACAATGGAAAATATATTTTTCTTCATAGTTTCACAACTGTTATGTTCACCTGATATCAAACAGCCACAAGGAATAATTCTAGCATAAATCTGACTGGAATTTTTTTTATTTATGCCCTTCTTCTGCTCTCACAGCTAGTTTAGATGTATCATCTTGAAAGTGTAAGATGTTACCCCAGATTTCATATAGTGAATATCTTCATACCTACAGTTTGACTTTTTCGAATTTTAGGTGAAGTGTTTCTGTTTTTAAATTCAATGTTTGAGGATTACTAAAGTATATTTTATCTATTTTTTAATCTTCCCCAATTCCTTCCAAATCTCTCTCCCATCCATTACCATCTAGCACTGTGTTCTGTCTATCAGAACAAAAGAAAAAGAAAAAGCAAAGGTGTCCCAGTCATTAAGTAGTAGGACTAAAACTGAAAAAATGAGGGTTTCTAACAAGGTCCCCATGGATACTGCTGCTCCTGCTATGCAGGTGTCTAGACCTAGTCATCATCCTGGCCATTATTATCACCACACTCTCTTCAAACTATTCATAACATAAAAACACACATTGAGAATTCTAACATAATCTACTTTCTTTATCACAGCATAAATCTATGGTACCAAACATGTGGTACTAAATCATTAAACAAATTTTCAGAGAGGATAATATACACAGACTCTTCTCTGATAATATTTAATGAAATTATTTCATTAAATTCATTAAATTTTTTTCACTGAGTTAAAATAAGTGTAGTAATTAAATGCAAGAACACCAATACTATAGCTTTTGTTCAATAAGATTTTGGCAAACTCTTAAGTAATTTTCAGGGGAATAATAGAGGAGACCAGCAATGTGCTATCTTAATAGAGGGAGCCATTATAGGTTTTAAGGGAAATCTGGCACTAGGAAAATGTCCAAAGATCCACAAGGATGACCCTAAATAAGAATCTAAGCAATAGTGGAGAGGCTACCTTAAATGCCCTTCCCCTATAATGAGATTGATGACTGATGACTCCCTTAAATGCCATTGTGGAGCCTTCATCTAGTGGCTGCTGGAAGCAGAAGCAGACACCCACAGCTAAGCCCTGAGCCCTACTCCTGGAATCCAGCTGTAGAGAGGGAGGAGGGATGAGCAAAGGATCAAGAACATCCTGGAGAAACCCACAGAAACACCTGACCTGAGCAAGTGAGAGCACATGGACCCCAGTTGTTAAGCTGAGGAACCAGAATTGGACAGAACCAAGCCCTCTGAATGTGCATACCAGGTGGGAAACCTAGGCAGTGGAACCAGTATTTATTCATAGTGCACAAATGGAAGTTGGGAGCCCAGTCCCCGTGGAGGGATACTCGCTCAGCACAGATTCATGGAGGCGAGCCTAGACCCTCCCCCAAATGATGGGACAGACTTTGATGATTCCCCCATGGAAGGCCCCACCCTCTCTGGGTAGTATATGGGTATGGAAATGGGGAGGGGTTGGTGGGGAGCATGGGAGGATGGGAAGGAAAGGGAACTGGGATAGATAGGTAAAACAAGATATTTTCTGGATTAAATAAATAAAATTTTAAAAAGAACCTAAATTCTATGTTATATTTTAAAACAACAAGCAAATAAATATATTTTTAATCAATAATGATTTTGAGTATAGAAACATAGGAGAGATTTTGCACTAGGGAGATTTCCAGAGATCTACAAGGATGACACCAACTGACAATCTAGGCAATGGTAGAGAGGCTACCCTAAATGCCCTTCCCCTATAATGAGACTGATGACTGCCTTATATGCCATCCTAGAGCCCTCATCCGGTGGCTGATGGAAGCAGAGACAGACACCCACAGCTAAACGCCGAACTGAACTGTGGAACCCAGTTACTGAGAGGAAGGAGTGAAGAGCACAGAGGTCAGGACCAGGCTGGTGAAACCCACAGAAACAGCTGATCTGAACAAGGGGGAGCACATGGACCCCAGACTGATGTCTGGGAGGCCAGCACGGGACTGATCCAGACCCCTGAACATGGATGTCAATGAGGAGTCCTGGCACTCTATGGGGTCCCTAGTAGTGGATCAGTATTTATCCCTGGCGTCAGAAGGGACTTTGAGAGCCCTTCCCACATGGAGGGATGCTCTCTCATCCCGGAAACATAGGGAAGGGCCTAGGACCTGCCCAGGATGATGTGACAGACTTTGAGGAACCACCATGGAGGGCCTTATCCTCCCTGGGGAGCAGAGGGGTTTGAGGTGGGGGCACTGGTGGAGGGTTGGGGGAGCTGAGGGAGAGAGAGAAGGGATTGCCATGTGAAGCGGCTTTGTTTCTAGTTTAAAGTAATACAAAAACAAGAAAATAAAATGAAATGTGCTTTTTAAATCATCAAGGTCAATTCATGGATCATGACTAAGCAGGACGATTTGTATTTTAAGCCATATAGAAAAAAAAAAAAACATGGGGACATATTAATCAAAAAATGCAAGGTAGTTTGTTTTTAGTGCTGTTGTTAATTACACAAGCATAAATACTGCATACTGGTTTACAGGTGTTAAATGGAAAAAGTGGAAAATGGGTAGAATCAACTGTATTGTAAAAGAACTATCAAGACTTCCTATTTTATTCCAGAGAATTGATACTGGTTTGTTTATATTCAGATTACCATTATGACTCAACTCTTTAAAAAAGAAATGTTTTCAGAAACAAAATAGGTTAAATATATGCTAATGTTTATGTTGGATATGTATTTAATATTTTGAAACCTAAAAGATTCTATTTTTCATTTCTGAGGTTGGGTTTTCAAGTGGCAGGGTGTTTAGAATTTTATAGTCCTCAATAATCTTGACCTTATGAATAAACTATATTGAAATATAACATGTTCGTTCATGCTAGTTTGTGTAACTCACTTGCTAGGTTTTGTATTCTAGCATTTTCTGAGGGGCGCACTATCACTCTTCTTGGCAGTGCATGAAGCCCATGCATTAGTTACCCAACCTCTGTGACTGAAGAGATCCTGCGGCTGTTTACATGAGCCATTCAAATTTGAGAAGTCTTAACCAACTCCTTGTGTGTACTTTCACAGCTCAATTTTACTTCTGTGGCTAGAATCCTCTGTAGCTGTGCAGCAATCCTTGTCTAACCCAATGACAAAGATAAAAATATTAAGGAACTAAGGCAAAAATACACCTATCTCTTAACAGAAGTAATTAATCACCTTAAGTAACCATAAAATCCTATTTTCACTAGTAATAGAATTGTCCAAAGCTGGATCATAGAAATTACTCTGTTTCCCAAGTTTGAAAAGTGAGAAGTCATGGGAAATCTGTAAGGAAGTGATCTCACCATCCTCAAAAACAAATGTTATTAGCATGATATTGGCATAAAAACAGACTGGTTGATCAATGGAAATGAATTAAGGTCCCAGATATAAACCTGTAAAACTATGGACACCATATTCTTATAAAGAAGGCAGAAATATTTATATTTGAGTTTTCTTAACTCAAATATTGTTAGATTTTATTTTGTTATGTTTGATTTTATATCACAGAAGCGTCTTCCTTTTAAAGAAGGGACAGAAAGGGTGTGGATCCAGAGGAAAAGGCAGAGGGAAGGAACCAGGAGGCACAGAAGGAAAGGAAACTATATTCAGATCAGATTGTATGAGAAAAGAATCTGTGTTTAATAAGGGAAAAAAGAAAAAGAATATTTGATTCAGGCCCATGTTTGGAACAGAGATTATTTTTAAATCCAGCTGTTGTAGTAAAAACAGAAATATATATTTATTCATGTCATATATATAATTTCATATTTATATGTGAACACAAAACGTTCCTCTTTTGAGACGTATAGTGGGAAATTACCAATACGGAATCAGGTAGAAATGTAAGGGTATTTAATAAAGGAAATGCCTTACTTACAGAGCAACCTAGCCAGCCTGCATGGCAGCAGTCTGTACCGAAAGTACAAAAGTGAAACCGAAAGAGAGACACAGTCCCCTGAAAACCTCACTCTATGTCACCCTGACCACGCCCTCAAAAAGCATGGTCAGGCACGCCTGTAGCCAGCCCCTAAGTAGGCTTGGCTACAGCTTCCCCTACAGAGACATTTGCAAAGGAACGGCTGTTTGTGACACAGATTTCTGAGTCTTGGATATAAAGCTCTGAAAAAGTATCTCTGAGCCTTAAGTCCTGAAAGAGTTGTAATTAGACTGTTACTGGGAGGAGATAAAATAATAAGGGCTTTCCTCTTTTGATTCCAGTTGTCATTGGGAAGTTAATGTAATTTCATGGGTTTTTAGGTTTCCTGATTCTTTTACTTTGTTTTTTTTTTTCTGTTGCCAGTATGTATGGTTAGGGACTTTGTTTTGTAATGTTGCTTGTGGGTCTTCTTTGCATCAAGAAGAGGAAATTGTGTAACTCGGAATATTTTGTTTTGTTGTTTTATTTTCTGTTGTTTGAGGTAGTGTCTCTCTCATGGTTCCAGGAATGGCCAAGAGTTTTCAC